AGACTATTTCTCAGTGGCAGATATCGAACGAATTGAAATTACAACTAACTATCAAGTCTATTTTTACATCGCTATCATATGGGCAAAATTATAAGAGAAAGCATCTTCTATCACCTTAATCAATACCTAACCACTCAATCAATAAGTCAATCCATCACCATTGAATCTGTCTCATGAATCCCACTATGAACATGATTCCATTAGCCAAACTACTTTAACCAATTTGTTGTTCAGTAGTTTAGGACGACTATGATCCAGCTGGGTATCGAACTGAGATCTCGGGTCAAATCTGGTAGTGCGAAAACAACGCAATGCAGCAAATTTCACAAAAGAATGCCTAATGGAATATATCATTTGAATGGAGTAAAATATTCTCCAAGAATCAAAAATAATTCTGGTATCATCGAACTGGTTTGAGTTCGAAAAAGAATGAATTATCAAAGGGGTATGAAGCATGCGGTAATGGATGAAATTAATTGAATGGCACTCACGCGGGAATGGGAAAAGGAATAAAATGCGAAACGAAACAAAAGAATCACGCCGTCAATCAATCACTGAAGAACGAGTCCGATCTGCTCGGGTGTCATGTCAGGGCACTTCCAATTGTAGAGATAATATTGTAGATTACCGTCACCGATTCCGAATTTCAACTCTTCCAAGAATTCTTTGTTTTGCATAAGATCAAGTGCATTGAACACATCGAATCCATCCTATAATCACGCTTATTGCATTTCTTTCAACGATCTTATCGTCGGAATAACAATAAAACGTAACATCAGATACAGTGAATAGGGCGTTTCATTAATAAGCTGAATAAAATAGTCATAAAATTTAGCTTATGTAAAAATACTGAGTGAAAAATTTCAGCGTGACTATTATAACAGGAATTGATGGGTAGATTACTTCATCAGTTTCAATAATCAGTATTCCATTCAGTAGTGCAACAGAATCTCATGATCATTCTGGTAAAAAATGACATCCGCAAGTGAGATTTAATTCTCGGGACACTATTTCGATAGAGCATGGCTATCCTAATTTAATACTCTGATTGGAATGATGGATTTGGAAGGTTGGTGAATAACCTTCACTATTCACACGGCTTGATTAGTTACCAGACCCGATTCTAATGGAAACATAAAGTGAAAAGATGATGAATGAACGAGAGTGAAGTGGAACGAACACTGTGTGCAATGATGAGTGCATCGTTCATCAGCTGCTTCA